CATATGTATTCGGCCCATCGTCAAATACAAACCCTAATGGATCCGGTCTCTACACATATAGTCCGGCCCACACTTTAATTAGATGCTTAAAGCCCAATTACTTAATTCCTTATTAGATCACTTTAATTTTGGGCTTAACTTTAAGATAACATTTATACACAATTAATTACATATGTCGGCTCATCATGACAAATTAAATAATTTTCCAACAGTTTGAACCTCATTTTTGGTGTAAAATGCATTTTGAAATAGTAGATGATAGAGAATGTGCGATTAAAAAATAAGGAAAAGTTTTGGGTTCGTGTGTAATATTATTTTATTGAAAAATGTGTAGTTAAAAAGAAGAGAAAAAATATATTTTAAAAAAAATGGGGATCAAACCATGGTAAAACCTTTTTTCCTCGAACATTGTTTTGGGAATAGTATTGTCAAGTCCATTAAGCTCTTGCGCATGAGATGTAGGCCATCAAGAGCTAGTGGTGCATTGAAGGCGCACGAGCACTTTGCACGCCTATAGCAGTCATTAATCGAGATCGTTAATTTTTGCGCAATTAACTTAAATTATTTGAGATTAAATGTAATTAATTATGAACTGTTGTTATATTCGGATGTCTCCATTTAAATGATGAGTAATGCTATTCATCCCCACTGGGGTTACAAATACAGTTTAGGTAGCGTTAATGTGGCATTAAAGATAAGTGAAATTAAATAAGTCATTTAATTTCATCTTTCATTTAACCTATCATTTAGAGCCACGTATACTTTGTTTGTAACCCCACTGAGGATGAATGACATTACTCTTAAATTATAGGTGCAACTTAGGCTAATTAGCACAAAACGTCCCTACCTTTGGGGTCGATTTCGGAAACCGTCCATACCTTTCATTTCTTGGCATTTATATCCCTACCTTCCACTTTTTGTGTGTTGAACGTCATTTTCACAACTTTTTGATAATTTTACCCTTCATTCAATTGAAACAAAAATAAAAGAAAAGAGAAACTAAAAAATTAATTGCAATGACAACTCCAAATTTTTAAAACCTACTTTTGAGTCACAATTACTAATTTTTTGTCCCCAACCAGCCGCCAACTTCGGAGCTATTTTCAGCCACCGTCCGACCACCAAAACCACCGGATACTGGCATCAATGGAAAGCTCTTAATCTCCTCTACAATCACCACCCAACAACTCCCTAAAACACCAAATAATCTTGCCGAAATCAACTCTCAAATTCAGCCATTCGAAAATCTGAAAACTACTGGAATCTCCTCCTCCGGCCACCACCTTTGATGGCCAAAAACGCTGGCCAACCACCACCAAAACCACCGGACATTAACACCACTAGAAAGCCCTTACTATGCCCTTCAATTCCCACCCAATATCATGCCTCGAACAACCCTGAAATCGCAGAAAATTTGGACAAAAACCGCCTGCTCATTTTGCTAAAACGTGTCGACAACTCCTTTTTTGATGACACCCATGCAAAGCCCAACATTCCAATCGATTCTCCACCTTAAGACACCCCTGCCTATTGTCCCTAACCGTCCCCTATTGCTCAGAATCAACACCAGCAAGTGGTAGCTTCGAACACAGTGAAAACGCAACTTTCACACGGATTTTCTGGCACCGGTGGTATGAACGATGATCAAGAACCACCACCACTAGCACCTACTCTTCAAGGCGCGTCCAAAACATTCAATTAAAGTTGCTAATACCATGGGTAATGAATCAATTGATTCAATTCGTCAGCCAATTAAAAGAATTTTGGATTTGGCCAAATTTTTTGGCCACCGACAGTTGGAAGTGGTTGTGGATGAGAAAATTAGTATCTTGTGACTGAAAAGTAGGTTTTAAAAATTCGGAGTTATAGTTGTAATTAATTCTTTAAGTTGTAATTAATTCTTTAGTTTTTCTTTTCTTTTCTTTTTGTTTTACTTGAATGAGGGGTAAAATCGTCAAAAAGAAGTGAAAAGGACGTCCAGCTCACAGAAATGTTGAAAGTAAGGACGTCCTACGCATGAAATGAAAGGTACCGAAATCCACCCCAAAGGTAGGGACATTTTGTGCTAATTAGCCGTGCAACTTATTATCTTTATAAATAGAGTCGATACCATTGGGTGTTACTGGAGCTATTCAATTCGTCATCCAATTAAAAGAATTTTGGATTTGGCCAAATTTTTTGGCCACCGACAGTTGGAAGTGGTTGTGGATGAGAAAATTAGTATCTTGTGACTGAAAAGTAGGTTTTAAAAATTCGGAGTTATAGTTGTAATTAATTCTTTAGTTTTTCTTTTCTTTTCTTTTTGTTTTACTTGAATGAGGGGTAAAACAGTCAAAAAGAAGTGAAAAAGACGTCCAGCTCACATAAACGTTGAAAGTAAGGACGTCCTACACATGAAATGAAAGGTACCGAAATCCACCCCAAAGGTAGGGACATTTTGTGCTGATTAGCCGTGCAACTTATTATCTTTATAAATAGAGTCGATACCATTGGGTGTTACTGGAGCTATTGAAAATGTAGCAAGTAGGTCCTCAACCTATTATTTTAACTATTGCAAGGGTTTAGGGCTGAGGTTACTGAGCTCGGTATGGTGAATTTTTAGCTATTGATAAAAAATAATGGTACATTGGTCATGTAATTGAGCTCTTTGAACAGGAATTAAGCCAATATCTCCACCGATAGTAATGAATACTTAAATTGATCTGATTCTACACATAGTCCCTGTTTGGTAGAAATTAAAATTAAAATTTTAATCTTGATCAAAATTAACAATTAATTTTAATAACATATTTCATGGGACCCACAACTTTTCAACCTCACATTTTATCAATTTTTATCAAAATTTATTAAAATTTTAATTTTAATCCCCACCAAACAGAGACTTATGCGATATTCCATTTCAACTCTCACTAGTGCTTTGCTTGCTTGTATCTATATAAACCAAGACCGTGGACAGTAGCAGGGCAGGATACAAGCATAGAGAGAGAGAGAGAGAGAGAGAGAGAGAGAGAGAGAGAGAGAGAGAGAGAGAGAGAGAGAGAGAGAGAAGACAGAGGAAACCCGCAAATGGCAGAACTGNAGACTGAGGTTAAGGGTGGACCAATGCGAATGGTTCAATTTTCGATTCAATCATAATCGAACATTTCGAATTCTTGAATACCAATCGAAATTGACCTGAATATGGGCTTATAACCGAACAAACCGAAACTGTTCATATGAAGTGATTTTTTCCTCTTCATTATCTTCGTCACATTTTTGTTCCTACAAGTTACGGGTCTGTTCTCTTTACCATTTTCAAGCCGTTTTCTATTTTTGATTTTCCAAAACAGTGAAAACGTGTTCTCTTTCCAATTTTCGAAAATGCGTTTTTGGAAACAAGTTAAAAATTTATAAAAAAAACACAAAACGATTCTGTTATAATCAAACCAAAATTTTCAAAACGCGTTTTGGGTGTTTTCAAAACAATTTTTCAAAATAACAAAGAGAACGCGTTTTCAACAATCACAAAATGACACTCAAAACACAAAACCTAAAATGAATTTAAAACTCAAAACTAAAGATTGAAATACAAAGAGAACAGTCCCTACTTCTCTTATTAAATGAAATTGGAAAACCCAAAGCTTCGGAATTTTAAAAATTGTACGAAATACATATTTGAGGATTAACTAAATATTCGAAAAATTTGGATCTTGAAAGTATATAAACACTCTTTCTTGTCTCAATTGATAAATTGGGATAATGATGTATCAGTACTCTTAGAGCATATGGCATGATTAATATTAGAACTTGGAATCAACCTTGTTAAGACGAGTAGTGAAGTCCGTATATGTTCTGTATTTATTTCATTTTTATTTGATGTGGGATTTATCCTTAAGATGCCCTACAAGATTCATTTAAGAACGTCAATCTTCAAATTTGTGTGCTCGTTAAGTTTTTAATCTAATCTAATTGCTCATTGGATCTTAATAGACTCTAATACTATATTAAGACTTTGGATCTCATTTTAAAAGGTCGACTTTGTTAAAATGAGCAACTTAAGCCCTTATATGTTGCATATTTATTTATTATTATTCGATGTGTGATTTACCCTTAACAATTAATACAAGTAAATAACAGAATCATTTCCAAAACTTTAAGATTGGCAAGAGACAGAGACCATTGCACTTCAGAGAGGACGGCTGGTTCAGTGAAGTTCTCTCCAGAACAGCAGGAATCTCAAGCACAGCCACCGCAGAAGCAAGAGCCCGAACCGAAAACCTCCACAAAAAGCGAAAAATCAGCTCTGTCCAAGTGGTCCTCTTGGTTTACATGCTGCTCAATCTGTAAGTAGGAAAGATTTTTGCCAAAATCTCTTGCCTTGAGCAACACCAAAACTCGAGAGGATCCATCGACGTGAAACTGGCTGAAAAAAAATGGTTCACATAGCCTACCTAAATAGACTGGGAATAAAGCTTGGTTTGTTGCTATCTTAAATGTCATTAGTATCATTGATAGTCTTAGTTTTGTGGATTCATAAAAGATGAATGCGCGTATTGTAAATTCTTCTCCTTGTCATGATAAAGATGATTACAAGCGCTTTCTATGTCCATCGGCTGGACAAAAATGACGAGCTCTCTCGTGGATGAAACGTGAACTATTGTTGTGCAGCATTGACCGTGGTCTACTTGCTTGGAATATAGGAATATGGTAGGGAATCTTAGATGTTAGAAAAGTGAAAGAATATTGTTGGAATATTAACTCAGCTCACCAGTTCACCATGTAAACCAGTAGCTTCACCAGCAATTCACATTATTCACCAGTCCAACAGCAAGACCAGCAGCTCACACGTTCAACAGATTCATCTTCCAGATTCTTCTTCTATTCTTAAGTTCACATTCAGCAACTGTGATTCTTTCCAGCTTATTCTAGCATATTCTAGTTCCTTCTTAAGTTTGTTATGTTGTTAAGTTTGTTAGATAGATTGTTAGAATTTATCTATAAATAAGCTCTTGTATGCATTGTAATTCTTAAGTTTGATTGAATGAATATTCATTTACTTCCCTACCTTATTCATCAGGTCTATCTCCCGTTTTTATCCTCTGTTATTTTTCAATTCCTTCTCTGTTTTTTTCTTCCTGCATTACAGCAGATTTAATTCGTTTTCTCCTTGATTTTATCATGGTATCAGAGCAGGTTTCCGATTCTTCTTTTCTTTCTTTACTAAATTGATTCTATCAAAAAAAAATCCCAAAAATCTGCAAAACAGATTACCAGAAAATAGGATACAGCATTGGTTCACTAGATGCTCGACGAAATGTCGGAATGGATGAAACCTGAAGAGATGTTGTTCCTCTTCATCAAACTAAAATGAAAATGAAGATGATTGGAAATAAGGAATCGTTTCATTGAAAATGGGCTTCCCAGGAAGCTTCACAAATGGTTGATTTATTCCCAGATAGGGAATCAAAAACGAAATTGAATTGGAATTGAAGAAAGAACCTATGGAATGGCAGGCTTCTCTGAAGATTTTTTGAAGATATTCCTTCTCAAAAGAAGAAGGAAGATAAATCGAAAAAAAGGGGTAGACAAAGTGTCTGTGATGATGAAGATTTTGAAGATACTCCTTCTCAAAGGAGAATGAAGATGAACCGTAAAAAAGCAGATGAGGATCCTGAAGAAGATCCAGAAGAAGAATTATATGAGGAATCTGATGAAGATTCAACGAGTAGCAGCATTGACAGTAAGGAACCTGAAAGTGATTGCAAAGAGGACTTGAATGATGAAACCAGAGCAGATGTTTTCCAGATAAAAGAAACAACAAAGTAAACTGATTCGAAACTTCCTTGATTGCATCCTACTCTCTCTCTCTCTCTCTATGGTTCAAGATGTTCAATTTTGAGGGAGGAATGTTGGAATATTACCTCAGCTCACCAGTTCACCATGCAAACTAGTAGCTTCACCAGCAACTCACTTTGTTCACTAGTCCAACAGCAAGACCAGCAGCTCACACGTTCAACAGATTCATCTTCCAAATTCTTCTTCTATTCTTAAGTTCACGTTCAACAACTGTGACTCTTTCCAGCTTATTCTAGCATATTCTAGTTCCTTCTTATGTTTGTTATGTTGTTAAGTTTTTTAGATAGATTGTTAGAATTTCTCTATAAATAAGCTCTTGTATGCATTGTAATTCTTAAGTTTGATTGAATGAATATTCATCTACTTCCCTGCCTTATTCAGTAGGCCTATCTCCCCTTTTTATCCTCTGTTATTTTTAAGTTCCTTCTCTATTTTTTTCTTCTTGCATTACAGCATATTCAATTCGTTTTCTCCTTGATTTTTTCAAATATTATACAGATTATGCGTATGTACAATTACAGGTTCAATACATCAGTCTTATAGTATTTATTGTTTTCAAGTAATGATTTGAACATCTGATTTTTTTACCTGGAATTCTTTAAGGATTGATTGGGAAATTTTCAATTATAGTGAATATTTTGGTCATTTTTATTATTATTTTAGTAAAAACACCATCAAAACCTAGACTGGATTTTACGCTTCAACCTAGACTCAAATATGTCATGTAAAGTAAGTTAAACTCTACGAGACTTGATATAATTACAAAAGATAAGCATATGAAACATTTATTTGTCATCACGTGTAGTTTAATGTATCAAACACGAGCTTTTCAACCTTTACGTTGTTCAAGGGGGTGAAGTTGTGGCCATTGAAATTTAATATGTTGTATTAGGCATTGAATTTATACTTCCATCACACTTGCTGAGCTTTAAAATGTTTTGAAGTGGTCACTGAACTTTACTAACTGAATCAAACTGTTTAAAAATTGAAAATTTTGAAGTATAAAACATCATATATGAAGATGGTGTCATTCTTTCCTCTTGAATTATCTTGTGACAATTCTAAAAATTATATTTTATAAGTCTTATTCTAATCGAAAATTCCATTGCCTGAGATATAATTTTTATTTTCTTTATTTAAGTCTACGATTAAAAACGAAATAAAGAAATAATTTCTCTATTTTATCTTCTCGAATAAAGAAATGTTATAATTTAAATTAAGATTGTTAGAATTAGGGTGTGATTTGAATTCTATTTGGAATACTACTTGAGAATTCTATTTGAAATTTAGTTAGGAAATCTAGTTGAAGTCTATTTGGGATCGCACGGAAACATGCCGAGAACAATTTGTCGATAATCTTAATTTTTCACGAAATTCCTTATTTTGTTAGAATTTTAGTTTAGATAAGATTTTTGTTAAGTGATATTTTCGTTTTTCCATATTTCCTAGGTTTAACTTTATTTTCATTGTAAAAAGAACATTTTTGACATTATGAATTAAATGAGATTTCTCCCTTTTTATTCTTGATTGAACATGTA